AGTCATGATTTTGTCTCTCATTTAAAGGTGAAGACATCAAATTCTGAAGTGATTTCGAATATAGTAATCTATGTCCAATACGGTTGGCTCCTTCCCCGTGTTGTCGACTGCTTGCTCAAAGGGAATCCAGTGGAACTTTAGATTGTTGGGTTTGTCTGTATAGCTTTAGTGAGGTCTTCATCTTACTATGTTAAGTGCTATGAGATGACGTATGTTGTGAATTGGTGCTGTATGAATCAAACTGACTTTAATTTAATATTCTCAATTTGGCAACATTACCACGCACATGTATATGCATTACAGAATACATTTAGGTAAAAGTCAACTTATTGATATTTCTTTCTTCCATTCTTTATTTGAATATTTGGTGTTAAGGTAATCCAAAAGTAATCAGGAAAAGAAAGTAATCAAGTTGTATTACTTTAATATTGTGATGCTTGGATTAGGTTTCTGAATATATTTTCTTTTACTTGGTAATTATTAAGTGTATTAGGAAACATTTTAAAGTAATTGACCCTTAAAGTTCAATAAGTAATGAAATGAACTTTTTTTCACAAAAAATACTCAGTGAAAACCATTTTATTTACAGTAAACGTTATATGACTGTCAGTAATTGTTTTCCCATGTTAAAATTTTAATTTACTGTGTTAGTCTGCTACGTTATGCAAAAGTGATTAAATTCAGACAACAGTGGATGAAAAGATCTCCCAGTGATCGGACAAGCTAATGGAATCACTGTTTTTGACAACAACCTACATGGGGAGATTGTCTAACTAGGTGCTTGGAAATAACTCGATCCCAGAGTCAAAAGTAGCTCCCAAGCTCTTCTGTAAGTAACAGCATTTGTGTACAAGTGTTAGCAGTGTGTATTTATGCTGTCTCACCTCAGCGCTGGTTCCTTCAGGCTCTCTGCAGCAGGCATAAATGTGAGCCTCTCCTGCTGTCTTCTCTGCCAGCTGTTTGACCAGCTCCAGACCAATGCCTCTGTTGGCCCCAGTCACTAAAATGTTGCCTTCCAGTTTCACTGACATGTTGGCTGTTTAACTGGTCCTACTACTCTCCTGTCAGTAACTGAACCTATGTGAAAACGCACTGTTGCTGTAATGCTGTTCCTGTGTGCGTCATGTCCCTGATATAAGCCTGCCACCACTCTGTGTCAACATATGCATTTAGTCACGTATTGCGTACCATACACACGGACCAATTGCGCTTCTTATCATATAATCAGTTGTCCTATCAGCCAACCAGCAAAAAGGTTCCTGTTTGACTGCTACTGACACTTCTGGGACTCCAGTAGTGAGGTGTGTCTGTAAGTAAAGATTTATTCAGATCTAAGCTTGCCAGTCTTCCCTCACCTCCTAATCATTCTTTGTTCATAAACAAACAGTTGAATTTTATTTTGACAGTGTCTATTTAGTAACATATTAAAATGTGATCACACCGAAAGTAAAACAAACCATTTGTTCTCATAGAGTGCAGTTTGATAATTAGTAATACTGTGATGACGTCAAGGCCCGGAATATGTGCAAAGTGTGTGACTAACCACAGCAGCAGAAAGATGAAGTTACCACATTGCCAGAAACTAAAGAACAGTGCCACTTCCTGTCCTCAGGGACGCAGTTTAGACTGATCATCTTTAATCATCTTTTCTAAGGACGAAGAGCAAAGTCCTTGTGTGTTCAAGGGTGAAACATTTTATTGGTTTCGGATCTTGAACGCCAACAGTGATTCTACTTTCACGGTCTGATCAAAGGAACTAATTATGATCCCTGGTTTTAATTATTATCAACTATAGTGTTGCTACTGGGGTGGGGCTGCATCATGCTACGTGATGTATTGAGTATGGTTTTATTTTTTGTTTTTTCCACGACATTATTTTATCTTAAAAATATGGTAATACATTTTATGGTACTTTCTTTGTTGTTATTTCTTATGTGATAAAAACTTTTTTGTCCTGGTATATTACTATTTTAACTATCTGATATAATTATATAATAGTAGGTTTCAGGGGCTCAAAACTTGTTCTTATTTTAGACCATCAGGCAAGATTAAATGAAGGCTAACATCTTCTTGTCATCCTTATTCTGCTTTGTTTCACAGAGCAGGAAGGTTTTCCACCAATCCCATGCTTACAGTTACATAGCGTTCAACTACTGCAGGTTCTTGTGTCAACAACCATACATTACACACATTCATTAGTTGTTACATTCAACTTATTGTGGCCTTCAGGTGCAAAACACAGCAACAAAAGCAAAACACGACACTTATAGGGAGTTCACCATCTTTCTTTCTTTCTTTTTTTAAAAGTTCTTTAAAGTTATTTTTTGGCCTTTTTGCATGTGTTGTATAGGACAGTTGAGAGAGAGACAGGGAAGTGGGAGAGAAGAATGGAGGAAGGACTTGCAGCAAAGGGCCATGAGCGGGATTCAAACCCATGAGCGCTGCGTAGGGAACCATAGCCCCTGTACAAGGGTCGCCAGCTCATCCAGGTGAGCTATAGTGGTGGCCCCATTTTCTTATTTCGAACTGGACAGAAGTAAGATCTTGTAAAGTATTTTGGGCAGGTTCCCTTCTGTGCACCATATGAAAGAAAAAAACAGAGCAGAAGTTTATTTCATCATCAGAAGAGATTTTTATGAAATGTGTTAGAATTCTGGGAATTTAAACGTTTTCTTTATAGTTGCATGACTCACAGTAAAGTTGCGGTTCCAAGGGGGTGTGATCAGTCAATACTACATACTTATCCAGTGTTTTGTTGCAGAGCCACCAGCCATGCACCATCACAGCCAACTGTTGGAGAGTGTGAGTGTGCCACACAACAAAGAGCCCCTCATTTTGTTAATGTCTTCAACATCCTGACTGCTTTGAATAAGGACCGCTAAGGACACCATCAGTTGTTGCTATTACACTACTTTTCTAGTCTTCTCATCTTTTTTTTTGTTTTTTGTTTTTGGTGGTGCAACATTTGACTACAACTACCTAACAAAATGTCGCTCCTTAATGCTGGATTATAGGACATGTTGACCGGGGCTTGTCAGGCTTGCCAAAGTACTTTTGTCTCTTTTATGCAAGAGACAGTGTTGGTTTTGAAGTTGTTGAAAGCTTCTGGCTAAAAGCTAAATGTGGTAGTCAAGATGGAGTAAAGTGTGTTCTGTTTGTTAGACCTTTGCTGTACTTTTACCTGTATTAGAAAGTTTACTGTGTAAATGTGCTGCATTTTGTATTTTATGACAAGAGGAAAACTATTAAAAATAATGCCCATGGAGACATCTCCTTCTGCATTTCACACTGCAACACATTTTATGACAGTGCAAATCTTACTGTTTGGCAAAGCAAAGTTCTATACAATATATAATTTACTACTTCAAAGACTGCCAGAGATGCATCCTGTGCTGCCTGTTACTTCTTCATCTCAGTGTTCTTAGAGACACACCCTTTAAGTTCTTGAAATCAAGTACATTCTGGAAGAGTTTGATTTTATATAAAGAGCTGTATGTTGGTAAGGTTGACTGTGAACTCGTCATGTAACCAAGTGCAATAAAGGGTTTATTCATAAAGTATGCTGTCCTCACTAAAAGTTGTTGGCAGGCAACATGTTTTCAGCTATACAGAGTATTCATACTGTCCGATGTTGCATCCTCCAAGGATCAGACAGGTGATGTATTTGGCAGGATTTAATGAATGGAAATATTCATACTTTTCACTTTGTAAAACTGAAAAAGAACAAGAACAATACAAATATAAGCACCAAAAAGTACTTCTTCTACACCATTAAATAAGATGATAATTAACTTATACAAATGTCTCAAATGCATAAATGTCGATACATACATGTAGAGAAATGTAAATATGTAAATAGTTTGCACAACACACATAAATTTAACCGCATGACTGGCACATTTACCCAGCGCTTACAACTAGCTGGTCTCCAAAATATTACTCCAAAATACAAAGTATATGTACAAGGTACAGAAACGGTAACATAAACATGTTGATATAATATTTAACAGTGCATAACTTATGGATGAAGCCGTTTATGTGGACTTTAATGCAAGGACTGACGAGATGGACACAGATGTTCCATGTTCTGAGCCCTGGAGGTCAAAAAGAAGTTTCTAGAACATTGCTTCCTGTTTCAGTGCAGCTGCCTTTGTTCTGCCACTAGATGGTGCTAAACAACACTCAAATGAACAAATGAACTGATTTACAGTACACAAGGTTTTCACCTTACTATGTTAAGCGCTGTGAGATGACATATGTTGGGAACTGGGCTATACAAATAAAATTGAATTGAATTCAACTATGAATTGACTTGGGCTGTCATCCCAAACAGGAATAGGTGTTACTACCTTTTCCATATTGTACCTGATCATGTCCCACTGTACCCAACACACCTCTAATTTAAATCTTTGTTTCTGTTGCACCACATTTTCACCTGCAGCAGTGTCTTATTACCTGTCCTCTTTGTGATTTTCATAAACAGGACATCAAGGCACAATGTTTGGCAACAAAGAGCCAGCTTTAAGCCTCCATGTGCACTAAAACAGTTTGCTCCAGTGTGAAGCAGCAGCTCCAAATCCAAATGCTTATATATATATATAAAAACATGGATTGCTCAGTCTGGGTTGGAACTGCCTCAAGCGAAGAGGTTTAATACAAAGGTCCACCCCTTTGTTTTCTGGACAGTGTTTACTTGCTGAGTCGTGTTAAAGGGACATTATCACAAAGATTTTTTTTTTTTTTGCCACATACCCACTTGATCTGTCTGCTTCAGAAAACTGAAGCCTCTCATTGGCTTTAGGTAAAATTTAGTGTGTTGCATTGCAAGTAGAGAATGATTCTGGATGTTGTTATTCCAGTTAGTTCCATCCATTCTTTCATGACAAGTCAAAACCTGTGAATCTGACTCAGTTGGGAAGGATGAAACAGTCTGTGCAACGTTTGATGTGGATTTCACTTTCAGTACAGAAACTAGTAAAAACATGAAATGACATAAGAAGAAGAATATATACAATGTTTCAGTAACACTTGGCTCCATTTTGATAAATCCTCAGTTTATTTAATAGAGTTAGGTGAAAAAGAGCAATAAATGCTACATGTTGCCTTGGAAGTGGTCACCTAATAGCAATTGTTTAAAAAAAAAAAAAGAAAGGCAAATATAAATGAAGTGAAAGCAGAATGGGTCAAATAACTTCATGCTATCAAACATGTAAAACATTGCATATTTGTAACTGTCAACAGAACTCAAGGATCATTCAGAAAACACCAAGCATTACCAGACACAGCTCAGCTCACAGAAGCTTCCACACCACTGAGGATTTTACTTGTAACAGAGTATTCTTACATTGTGGTAAAACTTCATCATATGACCAATAAAGTACACAACTGCAGCAATGTCTGCCATTAAACACAAAGTTTATTTTTACTGAAAAAAAGGTATTTTATCAATACTATATATGCTAAAACAAGACAAACACCCGTTGGATAGTGGCAAATAAATTTAAAATTGGTAAAAGAAATGAGCTTCAGTAAAGGAATACGACAGCATTTTTAGTTTCGTAGTTCATCACTTATTTGCATTTTAGCCTGGTTAGTGTTTCTAGTTTAAACAAATGTGTGAACTGTAACCACAGCTTTATAGGACTTAGCAATGCAAAGAAGCAATACAAAGGATAGCTTGAGGCCAGATGTGTGGACCATATAAATATAGTACGTAACAAAAGCAGCTCCAGATTACACAATATCTTTGGCAAGAATGACAAAAACAAAAAATAAACCAAAAAAAAAAAAAAACAGCATCAGTGTAAAATAGACAAACTGTGTCCTAATTGCATACCACCGACACAATGTGTAGGTCTTTCTGGATGGGGCTTGTTCTGGCGCCTTCCACAGATGCTTGATCGGATTAAGATCATGGGAGTTTACAGGCAAGATCAACACTGTAGGCTCTTTGTTGTGTTCCTCAAGTCATTCCAGAGCAGGTCTTGTGTGTGGTGAGGCACACTGTCCTGCTGGGTGAGACCTCCATGTGGGAGTGCTGGTGCTATGGGGGCTATGTTTGGTCTGCAAAAATGCTGAGATGGATGGGGCAAGTCACAGTAATATCCACATGAATGGTACGGTCCAAGGTTTCCCAAAACATTGGATATGATCAATCTATTTGTTGTTTTTCTTAATGTTTTGGTTGTGTGTATACTAACTCTGTATTTTGACTGTGAAGTATGTTTATAATAAAGTATGACTGATGCAAGAATAATTCCAACTGAAACTGTAATAGTCACCATAGTGATGCAGGTTAATCACAAGCATAATTTTGACACGTTTACACTTGCTTTTTGTTTTAATCAAGTTTTACAAGAGGGAGTCATGTTACAAAGGAGACATGTTCATTCTTTAACAATGAAACAGCTGAATGCGACATTTATTTCTTCACCAACTGCCTGTGAACAATCATCAGTTATTACATTCAGAACTATTCAGGCAGAAAAATAGCCACCTAGTCTGCACTTAAATACCGCTGTTCTACCTCAGTGGTACTCAAAGCGCTTTACAAAGTGTTTTACTCATTCACCCACTCACACAAACATGGCGACTGCCATCGGATATCATGTGGAGGGCCGGGGGATCGAAACACCAACCATGCGATCAGTGGACAACCCGCCCTTTTAGCAGTAGCATAGAAGTCGAGCCCCTCCATCAATTAGTTGGTGTCTGCTTATGCTTTAGAGGACCACAGGAAGCTGGAGCCTTTCCCAGCTAAAACTAGACACAGCCATTCACAATCAGAGGCCAGGCATTTTGATCACTCTAACGTCCATGTCTTTGGACTGAGGGAGAACACAAAACACAGCGGAAAACATACAAACACCACACAGAATGACCCAAGCCAGCCAGGAAGTTCCCACACAGAACAAGTTAAGTGATATGAAATAATAAATATCTGACTCAAAATAAATAAGTACATGTGATATTAGTGCTTGATACCCATTTCCCAAAAGAACAGACAGATTTGCAGCGTGGTTCAGGTTTGGTTCTGTTTTTCTTGCCTGACAAATAGGTAATTTTTTCACCTTTACAAAGTTTCTAATGACATGACTTGGTGGACGAAAAACAACCAAAGACAACAATATTCATATAAAGCTTATTTTGGTTGTTGTTGTTGTTGTTTTTTAGCTTTTGCTCAAGGTGAAAAGACAATTAAGGAAAATCACTAGTTTCCCATATCTCTCAATCATGTAAAATCCCTTTTAACACTTGAGATGGCGCCTGTATTTTACCTACAAATACAGGATATGCAAAGTAATGTCTGTTACCTGCACTGACAAAGCAAAATTCTGAAAGACATTTTAGATAATGTCTTCCTCTCACTTAACTTCCCTTTAGTGGAGTCAACTGTCTAATAATTAGCATCAGGTTATGGGGAACAGAAAAAGCTTTCACTTTGTGCTCAATGATTAGCTTTTGATAGTTTTCACATGACCTGGTATATTTTATTAGTGAAACACAATATGTCCTATTTCAGATCCCAGATCAGGAAGAACAATGTAACAAAGAATTGCAAATGAACAACGGTATCCATATAACCTGTCCATTATGTCTTAATGTTTAAACATCACAGCTCATATTGTAAACCATAGCACAGAACTTCTCCCGTTGGTTTTTACCATTGCGGTGTCCGTTAAAGGACTTGTCGTAAACCTTTGCATGTTAACCTGGGTCCATATTTATCAAATTGATAATAGTGATAAATGTAAACATTTAAAAACTGCCAAACTGGCATTTAAAAGATTTTTTTAAAACTTAAAATATACTTAATTATTACTTTTTATTGAAAGGTCCCTGAAATCGGCTAAGAATCTCCTTCTGGAGCTACAAGTGGAGAAGAGATGAGTCATCTGTTTTAAAACGACTGTTAACCCAGCGGAAGTAGGTTATGATAAATAATATGTAATGTGAAGCAAAAGTCAGAATTCAAAACAGACTTATATGACACGACTTCTGCTTCCAGTAAACTGTTATCTCCTAATACACATTTGAAAGGATATTGTATTTGATAAAACAGGATATCTGGTTTGGGCATTGGTGAGTAAGTCTGATAAATTCCAGCCTGAAGGCATCTAAAAGCAACCATCAGTTTGTGTCCAAAGCTACAAACTTTACCTTCCGGAAAGAGTGCGAGTTCAGAAAGACCTTGCAGTCCTTGGCACCAAAACCCTGCTGGCAGCACCATGAATTGGCTCATTGCTCTTGAGGCCATGGCATACAGCAGAGGGGTGACCTGTCAGGTACAAAACTGCATGCTTGCTTTAAGACTTGCTTACACACATTTAACACATCACCTTTTCAGCCATTCCTTCTGTGTGGCTGAATTCTCCTCATGGACAGAATCACCTTCTGGCTGCTGCCACAGTTCATTCTGGACTTCAAATGAACAGTTGAGATCGACCGTTGAGTCCAGTTACTTATGAGCACTCTGAAACACTCGTCACATCATTCACACACACACAGTAACAACACGTGTGCTTTGTAATTCTGTGTGTGTCCCAGAGGACCGTCAACTCCATCAGTTCAATCTGCTCCTCTTTTTTCATCCATCAGCATGACTGGCAGCACTCAGATGTTTATGTCCTGTACATCTGTGGGCGTAGCTGAGAGGTCCTGTCCTTCACCCATGTTCTTTGTTTCCATGGTAATTGAGTGGGGTTGTTGTTGTGCCAGTCTGAGACTGGTTTCCAGCAATGACTCTATTTGTTCCTGACATGCTCTGAGACAGTCCTGAAAAGCAAAAGGTCAAATTAACACAGGGATGGCCTTAGATCAGTGGGAGTGAATTTATTGTGTACAAGTCTGACATGGGCAGATGTACCCACCGGGTCACTCCTGATGGTCTGTGCCAGCTGCTCCGTCAGTTTCTGAGACGTCATTGTGTTGCCCTCCATTTTCGCCTGTAAGCCCTCCACTGCTGCCACCACGCTGCCTGCCGCTACCATGGATGGAGGGCAGGCTATGAATTTAACATCTGAAGAGTATCATAATGGAAATTATTGTTAATATGGCACCTTTAAAATAGCTGGTGACAGAGGAAACCACATACGAACCCAAAATATTTAAAAGCACAGTCAAAGATGTTTGAGCTAGCAGCAGTTCAGACTGAAATCAATTCTGCATTAAAACAGCACAGAAGCATGCTTTGGAAGGGAAATCTTGTTTAACCTACTGGAGAGACAATAAATTATCTAAAGGGAAGTCAACTTGAAGTAACAGATGAATGAGTTAAGAGGCCCAACAGGCTCCAAATCTATGCACAATGGTCTGCTCAGCAATTATGTTGTAAAGTTTACCATGAATTTGCACTTTAGTGTGTATTATTGGCCAATGCATAAATGATAAATGCATAAACATATTGGGAACAGGCAAGCATTTGTCAAGTTCTTCTTTCAATTCCTGCCAGTAGGATTAATGACCTCAAGTAAGATTTGAAGTTACTCTTTCAGAACTATTATGGTTTTAGTTGGTTTTTCATGTGCTTCATTGTTTTGAAGCTGTGTTGGATTGGGTATTTAATTACCTACTTAGAAATGGTCTCCCTTGTCAGGTTGGCCACTCTGCATTGTTTATAACCTGAGCCACAAGAGAGACCAACTCTGACAGTGACCGGGCCATAACTGCTAATGGATCAGCAGTTTCTGCTGATTGGCTCTGCTGAAAAAGCTGCTGCAGTCCTTGCTAAGATCAGCAATACTTGTTTCACAGAATACGGCACATTATAACAGTCTGACAGATAAGTAGCAGCTACAGGGGATTAGCCCAGCAGCAGCGTTAATAAAAAAAATAATTAAATATTTGCTATAATCCCAGGCATACCTGTGGCACACAGCGCAACGAAGATGTGAGCGTGCTTCCTGAGTATAGGTCTGTTCTCTGTCCAGACAGACAGCCGAGACAGAAAAAAGTCGATGAAGTCAAGAGGGGTTAATGAAGCCAGGTCCCACTTCAGCTTGTTCAAAACCAGCAGCTCCATTTGCTGTGTGTGGATGAGGACAGAGAGAGACAGAATGACAGGTTTAAGTGTGATTCAAATGTACACATGCAGGGTATAACAAAGACAGTGATGGGTGCTTTTGGTCTACTTCTTGTGACTTGGCACTTAACAGTAGCATGACAAGAAAGGTCAGGGGGGTCATCAAAAGCTCAGGAGGTTAGCACAGCTATTAGGAGTCATCCAAAAAGGACTATAAAATCCACACCAATCTGGCCAGAAGCTGCTGAGATGTGTCTGAGATGACAACCAAATGACCTACCAGCAGCTGAGAAGGTGTGATGGAGTTGTCTGTGTAGACGCAGAGTTTCTCAGCAGTCAGTGGGATTGTCTCCTTCAGTTTGGATGCCAGGAACATGCATGCAGCTCCCAATAACTGGAGGTGGTTTTTCTTTGTGGGTTCCACTGACAAGAAGCGATCCATATAGTTCATGGCCAGTGGAAAAACTTCCTCCTCACACTTCTGCTCCTCACACACCTGTACAGACAAATCAGGATGCAATGCTGCCATTTAGTTTCTTTGTCAGTGGGAAAAATATTGAGTTCAGTAGTTTAAGTCACAGAGGGCCACAAACTCACAAATGTTATGTTGCTGTAGAAAAATATTACCAGTGAGTGAAGTAGACTGATTTTAAACTTGAAGAGACAAGTTGGATTTGTACATCCCAGTCACTGAAAATCCCCATTTACTACATAGCCCATTCTTACTGCTCACTCTAAATACTTAAAAGTCAGTTCACGACTCCCATATCCCTGTGTGCTGACCGATGTGGGCTCTGAATGCAAACGCAGACATTAATACTACAGAGTCCATGTTGGTCTGGTTACTTTACTCCTGACACTGAACACAGAAAACACACTGGGCTCCCATGGATGTTTCTGAAAGGATGGCTGTGACTTTGCATTTTTCACAGGCTATAACAGCTAGTGAACACTGGTCTGTAGCACCATAACAGTGATTATTTCTGATGCATGATGAGTGCCATGGAACACCCTGCCCCAAGCAAAGTGGGCAGACATAACACAGAGCTCCTGGACAACTTGCAAGTTACCACTGTGTTGCACCATCTATGGAAAGCATGAACAAATCAAAGTCAGCCAGCAACTACTTCAATTACACCTTTTTTAAT